GAAGGTGTGAAACCTTCTGAGTAAATAATATTTTAGTAGAAAATGCCAATATATTTCGAAACATTGGCATAACTCTCCTATAAAAGACTGACCCTATTTTCCAACAGGTTTCTTAGTATGTAAAAAATATGTAAAAACGTAGACCGAATTTTTATTAACCTTAAACCTTTTATAAACCTTAAAACTAAAACCTTAATAGTATCGGCAATAGGGCAGACATTAATGGGAAGCTATGTTAAAACCTTAACAATACGAAAAATAGAATGGTGTTTTTTGGTCGAAAGATTTAGGTTCTATGGTACAATTGTTCAAGGTAGGCTTGTGTGTGACTATATATGTAATGTTTTGAAAAATATATAAAAAATATATTCTAAAGTCCATTTGTTTAAAAACCAATATTACAAAAATGTAATAAGACATTTTGGAAAGAAAACCCGATATTCTATTTATTTTTCGCGTATGTGTAACACATATGAAAGTGCAGGGAATTGCGAGTTATTTCATGAAGAATGATTTGCTTCCCCAAACTTTCCCAGTAGGCAGATTGAGTAAATTGAATACGGGAGCTCATTTAATAAAGAACAATTTCAAATTGTATGCGTTCCAAATTTTCCTTTTGGGTGATTTTTAAAAACATAATTTGTCAAATTCATATTGACACTAGTATTACGTTTGCATTAAATCAGCTGGGATTTGCTGTTACCTTTTATAATTGTACCATGGCTACTACCTATCAAATGTACAAAAATTTAACCTAGTAGCAACAGTGTAAGTGTGAAATGTCAATGCTCTATTTTAAGTATTGTAAGCTCCTTCGTGTGTTCCAAAAGCAGACGTACAGAAAAACGGACATCGCCAAATCGATATAAAAGTTTAGTTTGATCAAGAATATATATATGTGTCTAAATCGGACATTAATGGTGTACCATTTACAAAAAAATCGGACGAATGTATATGGAAGGAATATTTAAATTTGCAACTAATCGCACCAAATGAGCTCGTCCTTGGAGAAAAAACATAAAAACAGTAAGGAAAGATCAAAAGTCGGACGGAGCCGACTTCACCATTTTGTGTGCATGCAATAGATGTTGATATAGGAGACATAGCATCTTTGGAAGACCATTGAAATTGAACCGATTTCAACAAAAATTCGCAGACATTAAATAGGGCCTAATTCAGTATGATGTGCAAAAAGTTGCCTAAATGCGACAAATATAGGGAGTTTGGTACACCAATTACATAAAATCGAACGAAGCTATATCTAAATGTGAACCGATTTATCCAATTCCAGTAGTGTTCGTCCTTGAGCCAAATAAGTGACTTATGCCAAATTTTATCCAAATCGGATCATAATGCGACCTGTATTTTGTTTACAATTTAACCTCAACTGACGGACGAACGGACGGACATGCATAAATCAGTTTGACGAAGGATATTAATCGGGTTACAATTGTAGATAACTTTTTGGAGTCAAAACTATAAACTCTCTAAGCTCAATCTCGAACTTAAATATTTTTAAAAATTTTATTGGAGATTTGGTAGCCAATGTAACAAATTTCAGCAAATTCGATTGAAAAACGAAGTTAAGAACCGAAAATATCCATCTCAATTCGTTCAAAGTGATTACATGCTTTCGATTTGGTATGGCGTACTGTATTGAGTTTCGCCTGAGTTTCGTGGAAATCAGTTTTGATTTAGATATGTCTCCCATACATATTTTCGTCCGGTTTAATGTAAATAATGCACCAAAGTCCCTGTATAAGTTTCGATTTGCACGAAATTTGGTATGGAATACTGAATGAAGTCTAGAATGATGTGTGTTAATTTTCATAAAAATCGGTTTAGATTTAGATAAATTTTGAAGAGTGCAGTGTACCGGATCGATTTATATAAATTTGTATCATTGTGCACAAATAACTCTAAATCTGGCCGAATGAAATGAAAATTAGCATAGCTTGCACAAAACCATGTGTAGGGATTGATGTTAGCCGGTTCGCTTATAGCTAAAGACCACATATTTAAATTCGTTCAATTTAATGACAATGTTCCTTCGAAAAGGCGATGTCTGTTAGGATACATATGTAGGATAAACCCAAAGTGGTGAATGGTATTATATCGGCCGAGTCCGATTTTACTACTTTCCTTATTAGTTTTTATAGCTCTATATAACAGAACTTACCATTATTAGGCTTATTGGTGATTATGTATTTTCATTGGGTGTTCAATCTTCCTACCAAAAACATATCTTGGCATAAACTGCCATATTTCTAGGTTCTCGAACTACAAAATGCACACTTTATGGCGGAGTGTATACAAATTTTGGGCTAGCAGAACGAACCTAACTAACCTTTTATCGCACTGTGTACTGAGCATTATGTATTTGTTCATATATTTGTAACAGGAAACGAGGTAGACTCATAGTTCCTTTTGCTTAGAATCTATTTTGAATCGATTTATGTATGTTCGTCCATTGCATTCAGGTCGCATTCATAACCCAATTATTTGCCACAAGGACGAAACATACTGAAATTGGTGATATTTGGATATAGTTCTTATATATTAGTTTGAGGAAAAATAAATCCATTATTTATTTCTTTTTTTTTGTGTAAATAGTTTAAAACAGTTATTGTCGATTTTTAACTCCTGGGCGATGTTACGACTGCTAACATGCCGATCAACTTCTTTCATTTCTCCGATTGTATCGACATTTTCGACGACCGGCCTACCTTTGCGATGTGCATCTTTAACATCAAAAATTCCTGAACGTAATCTATGAGACTAATATTGCGCATAATTGGCTGTATCGGAACCATAAACACCATTCACAATTTTAGCCGTTTAGCTTGCCTTTCCGCTTTTGTCAAAGAAAAACTGTAAGATGTGCCGAATTTTCTCTGTACCGAATTTTCTCGCCCTGTAACTCACAACTGAATGCAACGAACAAAAACCTGATTTAACTATATGATACCCTTCACCACTATGGGTATATTAAACAGGACTATTATCATGAAATTGTATGAAATAAAATATGTGATATTTATCTAAATGTTAAACGACCTAGATCTATCCATCAACATTCGTTTGTTACAATGGGACAAAAGTATGTAAATCGACTTCAAACAAATATCAATAGGTCATCCGTTGGGCTAAATCTGTACTTCTAGAAAATCCAACTTATTCTATGCTCAATTTTGTACGTTGTGCAAAATTTGATGTCAATCTAATAAATATGAGGAGTTTCATGCACAATTTACTTATATATGGATGCTATATTACTTATAATCAATACTTATAATCAATCTATAATATAAGGGAGCTATATCTAAATCTCAACCGATTTTCACTAAACTTGGATTAAACTCAAACGCTATGCAGCATAACAACTTGGGACATTATTTAGATTAAATCGGACGAAAATATATATATATATCTAGATCTGAATCGATTTCACGAAACTCAGCACACATCATTCCAGCATCAATTCAGAACGCTATGCCAAATTTTGTGCAAATCGAAGGATACATTTGGTGCACCATTTACATTAAATCGGACGAATATATATATATATATGGGAACTATATCTAAGTCTTGGCCGATTTTCACGAAACTTGGCACACATCATTCTGGATTAAATTCAAAACGCTATGCAACATAAGAACTTGGTACATTTTTTAGATTAAATCGGACGAATATATATATATATATATATATATCTATACTTCTAGGTCTGAATCGATTTTCACGAAACTCAGCACACATCATTCCAGCATCAATTCCGTACGTTATGCCAAATTTCGTGCAAATCGAAAGATATGTGAGACTTTGGTGCACCATTTAAATGAAATCGGACGAAACTGTATATGGGAGCTATATCTAAATATGGACCGATTTTCACGAAACATACCAGACATCATTCTAGGCTCAATTCAGTACTTTATGTCAAATTTCGTGCAAATCGAACGATATATAGGGACTTTGGTGCACAATTTACATGAAATCGGACGAATTTATATCCAAATCTGGACGATTTTCACGAAACTTGGCAGACATCACTCTAGGCTCAATTCAGTACGTTATGCCAAATTTCGTGCAAATCGAAAGATATATGGGGACTTTGGTGCTCAATTTACATGAAATCGGACGAAACTATATATGGGAGCTATTTCTAAATCTGGACCGAATTTCACGAAGCTTGGCAGACATCACTCTAGGCTCAATTCAGTACGTTGTGCCAAATTTCGTGCAAATCGAAAGATATATAGGGACTTTGGTGCTCAATTTACATGAAATCGGACGAAACTATATATGGGAGCTATATTTAAATCTGGACCGATTTTCACGAAACTTGGCAGACATCACTCTAGGCTCAATTCAGTACGTTGTGCCAAATTTCGTGCAAATCGAAAGATATATAGGGACTTTGGTGCTCAATTTACATGAAATCGGACGAAAATATATAAGGGAGCTATATCTAATTCTAAACCGATTTTTCCCAATTTCAATAGGGTTCGTCCTTGGGCCAAACAAATGAGCTGTGCCAAATTTCATCCAATTCGGATCATAAATGCGATCTGTACTTTTCTTACAAAAATACATGTACAGGCAGACGGACGAACGGACATGCTTAAATCGACTTAAAAATTAATTTTATGCATATTCTCAAAAGGAACCATGGGTCTATCTCGTTTCCTTTTGCCTGTTACAAACATATTCACAAAGACATAATACCCTGTACCACAGTGTGGTGAGGGTATAAACAGTATAATTTTTCGTGGGGCCATTCTAAGATACAAATTGAGAAGAGCAAAAATTGTAACCAAGTATATTGTGACGATATTTTTTTTAAATTTGAAAATTAAATTAAATTAGAAATTGAAAATTTTTTTAAAACAACGGTTCTTTATTAAAAAAAATAATTTTATTATAGAATAACAACAATAACATAAATATAACACTTTTCAGTCTTGACTAACGCAATCTGTACAATTTGTCTAATGGCGTTACAAACGAAGAACTGAACCTGGCAAATATTGGTTATCTGGTACTGCAACATTTGCAGGCTGAACCAAAGGCGTTGGAGAGGCAAAATTCAAACTTGATGCCAAACCGCCATTAATTGTCCTAGAACTACCACCCAAGGTATTATATTGTTGTTGAATAGCATTTTGAGCATTGACAGCATCGTCCGGTGTGCGATATTTAACAAAATGGACCTCTGGCCGATTGTTGCCGTTGTTGTTCTCACTCAACGAATTGAATTTATTTGTTAATTCATTAATGTCGGCTTGTTTGCTGAGAATATAGATGGCAGTTTGAGCAGTTCGTTTACCCAATGCTAATATAGCATCCTCGAAATTCTTATTTGATGGTCCTTTAATGAATACAACACGTTGGGGTTTCTTCACTGATTGCAGGACACGTTCGGGTGTGCTATCCTTGAAATCATTTTCATCAACGGTGTATGTAATGAATTGGTTGGTGGGAGCAGATTCATCGGAGTTGAAAGAGGGGCTGGAAGTTACGAAACCATCATTGGAGAATGTTGTTTGGAATGGTGAGGTATTTGGTCCATTTGGTCCATTGACATTGATTAGCGTGTTATAAGTACTGCCAGCTTTAGCATTGTTGGCAAATCCTCCAACAAGTCCTCTTACAGTTTGTCTGCCTTCATTTCCAATTTGATAATTGTATTGGCCGGAGGCAATTGCCACCACAACGGATAAAATTATAAATACACCACGCATTTTTCCAAATTGAAGATACTACTGTTCTATTGTTCTGAAGCTGTGCTAAGAATGATAACACCAAAGTAAATGGTTTCGATTTTATACTTTGACCTATTTCCTCTAAACTGGCAATCGCATGATAATCTGATAATCTAAAGTTATCTAATCTCATCTAAAACTAATCAAAAATGTAACAATAAAAACGTAAATCGGAACTTATGAATTCATATATTAGCGGTTAATTATGAGAACAAACATACAAAAAAATTATATTCAAATCTGTGGATTATTATTCATTTATTAGTCTACGTTATTTTGATGGAAGCTCTGTGATTTGCCTATTAAGTGGCTACTGCACAAGCGTCACATGACCATGTAGACAGGCTCGTTTAGCTCTTAATTGGATCGGTTATGAGTTTTTTTAATTTTTATTTGCTAGACACTTATATAAATATTAAAATATTCTTAAAACAAATCTGGTATTAGTTTTTAATAATAATAATACGGATTCAATTTAACAAAGCAAGTCATTCAATCTGAGCAACATAAAATCACAGAATTTGAATGGATTTTTTTTTTTTTTTTTTTTTTTGTAACCAATTAACTAACGAATATTATTGTAACCAGAAGCACGACATTATATTGTCGTGTTTTTTGTTCCAAATGGGTTAATGGGTTGCTATTGTTTTCTTAATGGCCGAAATTTACAATCAAAATATGTGGGTCAATAATAGGCAACTTATCTATTATGATTAGGTATGGCCTATACTAAGTATTCATAACACTTATGATATGCTAAAATCGATAAGTAGATTAGGTGATATTTCAACGCTCTAGTAGTGAAAATGCGTTTAATTCGTTCGGATCCAATTTTTGGTTTAATTTTAAGCCAAATTAAACAAAACTTAACACATGTCATTATTGTAAAATGGTTTCTTAATCGAACAAACCTTGGAAGTGTGGTTAGAAATTTACATCAAATCTGAACCGATTTCAGCAAAAAACACACATATCAAGTTGTACTTAATTTAGTACGCTGTGTGGAATTTCGTCTCAATCAGACAAGCAGAGAGTTTTTGTTGCGCCTTTTACATCAAATCCGATGAAAATATTTATGGGAGTTATATATAAATCTGAACCGACTTTCTCCAATTTGATAGAACCCGAATTTTTTATATTTTGGGTTCTCACTGGGTGTGAAATCTCTTTACCAAAAATAATCAAAACTACCTTTTCCGGTAGCCCGCATATAAAGGTACGACCAATTTTTCGGTATTTTGAGCTCGTTTTTCAACCGAATTCGTAGTCCGAATTTTGTAATCGTATTTGGTAATATATCTCCCTTTCAAAAAACATTAATATCCGCCCCTTATAGGGTGATCCTAATATAACCCCATTTTATACCCTTCACCATAGTATGGAGGGTATATTAATTTTATCATTCCGTTTGTAACTCATCGAAATATTCATTTCCGACCCTATAAATTATATATATTCTTGATCAGGGTAAAACTTTAAGTCGTCTAAACGAATTAAGATTCCAATTTTGTGGTTCTTGAGCGCGTTTTTCACCCGAATTCGCTAAAATGTGCTAAATGGGGTACCAAATTTATCCACTAAAAATTATAAAAGTAGGTCGACTTTTTTTGGTAGCCACCATATAGTGGTACCCCCAATTTTTTGTATTTTGGATGATATGAGCGTATTTTTCTACTTATTTGGCTGTAAGTTAGTACTATGAGTTTTTATTGGGTAGCAAATCTCTCCACAAAAAAATTTTCGGGTAGCCCCGTAGCTACGTAGTATGTAATTCTAGGACCATCTGTTGTAATCATTCTTTCTTTGGAGGATATCGAGATAAAAAACTAGAAGGTCAGGTTTTAAAGTGACTATACCGCCCAGCATTTAGGCCTAACCTCTATATAAAACCACCTACCGATTTAATATTTAACGTGAAGGAAGGTAATGAGATGACTAAACCAGTAAGGAAAATAGGAAAGTCGGGCGGGACCGACTATTTTAAACCCTTCACCACCCTAAGAATATTTAAAGGGGCCCCTCCCCCATTCTCAGGGTCAATTTTTTTTGATTTAATTCGAATCTACATTAATTCAAGAATGTCCCTACAAAATTTCAAGTGTTAATCTCAAGAATTCTTGAAGATATAGCCGATTTATTGTATCAGCATCAAGTGACGGCTAAAGGGCTTCTCAAACTTTAAACGCGTTTTTCTCTTTTGCGAATGGCGGGCACGATAACTCAAAAACTAATAACCCAATCGATTCCAAATTTTTACACGTTTCGCAGTGAATCGGTGAAGATCTTCCTTATTATACCCTACACAACTATGTTGTCAGGGTATTATAGCTTTGTGCAGCCCCAAAAGTTTGTAACGCCGCGAAATATTGGTCCTAGACCCACCTTTAAGTATACCGACCGTCATATCTCGACTAGCTGAGTCGATCTAGACATGTGTGTCCGTCCGTCGTCCGTCTGTCCATTATAATTTGTAAACACGATACAGGCCACAGTTATGGACCAATCTTCACGAAATTTTGCATGTAGGATGGGTTCTGGCCAATGAAGACCCCTATTGTTTTTTTGTAAAGATCAGATAATATTTAGGGGATGAAATGGACCAAAAACTTTATTTTTGTCGGTTTTTCTGGTCGCTCCAGAGGCCGCAATTATGGCCAAAACACCGCGAATTTTTGCATGGAGAAAAGGATCGGGCTAAAAAAGCATGCCTGTTTTGATAAAGATCGGTTAATATTTAGCGGGCCCAATGGACCCTGACTTTTGTGTGAAAAATGACAAAATCTCTATTATATAGCGTATATATTTACTCCTGAAGGACATAGAGCCGAGAAGTTGATAGTATATCCAAGATGAGTGGTTGGCCTTTAAATTGATACCAATTATATTACCGTATGTACCGGATGCGGGAGTTACACTTAAATATTTACAGGTGCTTTAGTATTCATATATTATTTAGTAACCTATTACCACACTGGAGGGCGGAAATATAGCGCTGACCGCGTTGAAATGTTCCATGAGGTTTCAGTTATGGTCAAGGACAACGTCTAAAATGTTAGGTGATGATCAGATAATAATTTTTCGGATGAAGTGGGCAGAAAACTTAATTATTTGTACTTTTCTAGTCGAAAGCCGAACATCACAACACAACCCACGGTGAAGTAATTAGAGGGGCTGTACTGATTATTAGTAACATTTGCTGATCTCTAGCCAGTCAAAAGTGTGCAAATGTCGCGAAATATTGCCCAATCTCAGAATATAGAACCACAGAAAGTTAGATTTTCATGGAAGTTGTATAGGGTATCATATGGTCGGCCCCGTCCGACTATACTGCTCCGCTCACTGTTTTTTTTTAATTTAGCGTGAAGGAAGGTATTTTGATACAAAACTAAAATATTTGGTTCGAAATTGAGCTATATCGTTCCTCAATTGGTAATTCCTGCACGATTTTATCAATATTGTTCACTCTTTCTGTACATAACTTTGCCCTCTAACTAAAACCATTGCATAAAATATGCTCCGACAACCACATTCCTCACAGTTGATTTTTTTTCTATAGTTCGATTTTTTAATTTCTCCAAAGACCTTAGGCATAAAAATGTCATAGCGGAACAGTCGCCGTATGATCGTTCGGCGGAAGAATCAGGTCAATATGTTTAAAGTTATTTTTCCAACGAACAACTTTCGTTGGATATGGCTCGTCTTTAATTAATTGCTGTTTTGGATCAGGCTCAAAAAATAGATATTAACACTTCTATTGAAAAAACCCCAATCGAATTTTTTCAACATTTCTTTGAACCTAGAAACAACGGAGCTATTGTCAAGTTGTACAGAATCCAATGAAACCCAAACCATTTTTGCCGTCAGTTTATTGAATGTATTCTGGTCGAAGAAGTATCCCAAGTATCATTAACTTACATTGTCCGTACACGCATGATATCAATGTTCTGGGGAACAACGTTTCCTGTTGGCTCAGGTCTACATTGTTAAATCATCTAAATTGTAATAAATAAGAGGAAAATATTTGAAAAAAACTTACAAAATTACCAATGTTTTTCATTTTCTATAATAGCTTCGCTCCCATTTTAATTGTAGGCAACTTTGGGTAAAGGATATACCGTATTTTTTTAATATTCTTATAGAATCCTCTATTCTTGCCAGAACGGAGTTCAAAACTTTTAATGAGCTATGCCACTTCTGTGACCATGGCTTTATATAAAATTTCTTTTGAATCTGTGTACATCAAATTAAGATATGTAGAACTCCTTTCACTAGTTATATATTTTTATCAGTATCCAAAAATAGCTATGTTTAAAAAATTACCTTTAAATGCAGCTCCAACTTCAGTACTACGCAGCACGTTTCTTATTAGAAGTTCGACACGAGTTCAATTAATTACGTCAAACAGATGCGGAAACCTAATAAATATTTAATAAACATGAATTAATTGATATCGGTTGCATCTGCCGTATTTATTAACTGTTCTTTCTTAATTTTTGATAACATTTTTTCTGGTCTCGATTTAGAAAGTGAATATTGTTTTTCATTGAAAAAATAAACAAGTTATTGTCAAGCGTTAAGCAAGCTTTAGGCACTTAATTAATATCACATCTGTGTGAAAATAGAATTGCATGGGCACCCGTTTTATTTTGTTAATGATTTATACCGGTAAAATTATAATTTATTTCTTATTATCGAATAATTTGGAAAATTCGCTATTGTATAAAAACCGCCTGCTATGCAATTTCAAATCATTCCACTTTTCAACATCTCTTCAGGAGTATCAGGGAAAGCAGTCTAATCAGTTTTCAATATGCGTGCATTCATCGTCTTGTGTTTGGTGGCCACAGCTTGTGCCCAATATAACTATCAAGTTGGCGGAGGTTCTGATGGGACCAGTGCATCATTGAGTTCCAGCGCTGTTGGCAGCAACTCAGCATCCTTCGAAGCTGTGAATGCTGGTGGTAATATTGCAAGTGGAATTAGTGGTGGAAGTAGTTTCGGTGTCTCATCCAACGCTGCTCCTGCTATAGGAACTATTTCATCATATGGTGTATCTAGTTCTGGTCCTTCATTGGCTGCCACAACATCTTCATACTCTGCTCCAGCTTTTACTGCTACCTCTGAAGGTAGCATTGGTGGCACAGCCAACATTGTTTCTGGCCAAACTGGTGCTTCATTCACATCTTCTTCCTCTGCTCCAGCTTTTACTGCCACCTCTGTGGGTACCACCGGTGGTGCTTCCAACTTTGCCCCAGCCCAAGCTGAATTGGAAAAAGAATTCTACACCTTCACCGCTAACGAAGAAGATTTCAGTGAACCCGCTGGCTCCAACCAAATCAACGCCATTGCTAAACAAGGTCTCCGTGTTATCTTCATCAAGGGTCCCGAAAACACTGGTCTTGAAGATGCTGTCTTGGGTTTGGCCAAATCTGCTGCTGAACAAAAAACCGCCATCTATGTGCTCAACAAACAAGCTGACCTCTCCGCTTTGGCTGAGAAATTGAACACCGCCAGTGGTGATGTTAACCACAAACCCGAAGTTCACTTCGTCAAATACCGTACTCCTGAAGATGCTGCCAATGCCCAAAAAGCCATTCAAGCTCAATATGATGCCTTGGGTGGTAAATCGGAACACTTCAATGGTGGTGTTGCTCCATCACTGAACTTTGCATCTGCAGCTCCTGCTGCTACTGCTGGACAACAAAGTGGTTCATTCCAAAGTGGTACAGTTGGTCAACAAGTTGGATCATTCCAAGCCGCCACTGGTGTTCAACAAGGTGGATCCTTCCAAGTCGCAACTGATGGACAACAAAGTGGTTCATTCCAAACTGGTACAGTTGGTCAACAAGTTGGATCTTTCCAAGCTGCCACTGGGGTTCAACAAGGTGGATCATTCCAAGCTGCTACTAGTTCTACCTATTTGCCTGCCTCTATTATCCGCCGTTACCGTGCTTAAGTGATTGAGTGTTTTTGGGTCAATAAGGGGTAGAGATGAAAACTATACATTTTTTTGTTGTTTCCTAAAATTGAATTGAATTTGTGGAATTATATTGAAAGTTAAATAAAAGATATACGATTTTTTTACAATTTAATAAATTTCTTTTATTCTATTCATCGCATGATGTAAGATATATATAGCACAAGGGGATTTATCCTATGAATACTTCAAATGCCAAATTTACAGTCGAAAATCCCTAAAGAGGACCTATATGTCTAAAAAACGTGAACCCAGATTGTCATTCAGAAGAAACTTGTACTCTCAGTGGGTAGGAGGCCAATGCACAACCAATTAAATTGGTTGTACATTGGGTCAAGGGTTCAAATAAATCTAATTCGTACTATGGATTTAAATATGAGAGGTTGAGAGGTTGAATATATGCAAAGTTAGTACATAGAGTCACTTAAAATATTTAACACTCAAAATATCAAATTATAGACGATATAAAAATTACAGATGTATTGTCGAAAGGCGCTAAAACTCCCCGAAATACCGAAATTTGAAAGCTTCATTTGGGTAGAATAACAAATCATCCTACCCAAATGAAGCTTTCAAATTTCGGTATTTCGGAGAGTTTTAGCGCATTTCAACAATATATCTAATTAGAATTCAAAAAGCATTATATAGTGGCTGTTTTGGTCTATTTTTCATACTAAAACAAGTAACGAAAAGTAGTAAAGTCTGTGGGGACGTCTTAACAGACGTCTCATTACTGAAGGGCCAGAGATATGATCTTTGACGAACTGAAATACGCTAAATGTCATTTCATTTGAAGATTTTTAGTCGTCAGTGTACAATGGAACAAAATATGTAAATCGATTTAAAGCAAACTTGGCATACACTATTCGGGTCTTTGGTGCACCATTCACTTAAAATCGGACGAAAATATATAATGTAGTTATATGTAAATCTCAATCGATTTTCACCAATATGTACGTGCTAGGGCCAAATAAGTGACCTTTGTCATATATCATCCAATTCGGATCATAAATGCGACCTGTACTTTATTCACAAGAATACATGGACGGACAGACGGTCATCCATAAATCGAGAACCTGATGCTATCCATATTAGCAAAAGGAGCCAAAGATCTATCCCGTTTCCTTTTGCCTCTTACAAAGATATGCACAAATACATAATACACTGTATCGCAGTGTGGTGAAGGGTATAAAAAGTCGGTTATCATATGACATTAACGTTCCAAATTGACAGTGACATTAGTTGCATCGTCGTTTTCAAAGAAGTAAGGTCCAACTACACCATCGGATAACAAAGCGCACCAAACAAAGACTTTTTTTTTGATTTAACGGCCTTTATTCAATTGCTTAAGGCTACAGAGAACCCCAACTACAACAACTTAGGCAGAAGGTAATATAGGGACAATGGTGCACCAAAGTTCCTATATTACCTTCGATTTGCGCGAAGTTTGAAATAGCGAACCGAATAAAGCCTAGAATGATGTGTGGCAAGTTTCGAAAAAATTGGTTCAGATTTCGATATAGCTTTCCCATATATATTCGTCCGATTTTACATAAATGGTTCACAAAACTCCTAATGTTTGTCCGATTAACACGAAATTTTGCACAACGTATCATAGGTTGCAAAATGCATGAGTATGTTCCTTCGAGGGAACATTGAAATGCAATTTTAAGGATACATATTTACAATATATCCAAATTGGTGAAGGGTATCATATACTACTTTCCTTACTGGTTCCACCTGTTATATGGTATATTATGGTTTCACTGTGTGGAAAATCATCATACTAAAATGGGTAAGTTTTCAACCTAATTAGCTGTAATGTGGTAGATATAAAGGTGCTACCCCATAAAGGTGCTACCCCATAAAGGTGCTACCCCATAAAGGTGCTACCCCATGGGAGCTATGCCTAAACCTACATAGACCATTTTCGAACTTGGACTGCCTGCGGACAAACGACAACACGATTTGTTTGGAGGCTAGAGTGATTACAATAGACAGACGGACAAATTTAAATCGGTATGTCGTTTACGCTGATCATTTTTATGAGTTACAAACGAAAAAAAAAATAATACCCTGCAAAACTTGTCTATCGTACAGCCCTGATTCGCAACCCTATGACTTTTTTTATTCCAGCACCTGAAAACAAAATATGAGGTCAACGATTGTCACTGCCAGAAAATGCTGATGAAGCATTTAAAATGCATTTGGAGATGTCTCATTCGGTGAGAAAAATATTCGGATTTTCATTATTGGTATATATATATATATATAGAAGCCCTCGCATGCTCTGGCATGTTTGTTGTCACTCTCTTAAATTTAATTACCATTTCTGTAGTTTTCGCAGTAAGAGAGCACATCTCTTGCAAAACTAACAAAGAGAGAACAAACTTTAATTTTGCAGGCTCTGGAAAATTCGTTTATAGCATTTCGATTTCGTGGACAGTGGGTTGGAATCTCTAGCGTGAGAACAAAGATAACAAACAAATTGAATGATAAATTCTAATGATTTTAAATATTCTTCCACTTTATACCGTCTATCCAAAAACACAATATACAATAAATAACAACAGTTTATTATACCCTACACAACTATGTTGTCAGGGTATTATAGCTTTGTGCAGCCCCAAATGTTTGTAACGCCGCGAAATATTGGTCATAGACCCACCTTTAAGTATACCGATCGTCATATCTCGACTAGCTGAGTCGATCTAGACATGTGTGTCCGTCCGTCCGTCCGTCCGTCTGTCCATTATAATTTGTAAACACGATACAGGCCGCAGTTATGGACCAATCTTCACGAAATTTTGCATGTAGGATGGGTTCTGGCCAATGAAGACCCCTATTGTTTTTGGAAAAGATCGGTTAATATTTAGGGGATGAAATGGACCAAACACTAAATTTTTGTCGGTTTTTCTGGTCGCTCCAGAGGCCGCAATTATGGCCCAAACACCGCGAATTTTAGGGGATCGGGCCAGAGAATAAGCATGCATGTTTTGATAAAGATTGGTCAATATTTAGCGGGTCAAATGGACCCTGACTTTTGTGTGAAAAATGAGAAAATTTGTATTCTATGGCATATATATTTGCCCCTGGAGGATGTAAACCCCAGGAGTTGATAGCATATCCAAGAGGAGTGGTTGGCCTTTAAATTGATACCAAATATAGTGATGTATCTACTCAGATGTGGGAGTTACAGTCAAATATTTACAGGTGCTTATGTATTCAGATATTATTTAGTAACCCATTACCACATTAGAAGGAGAAATATCGCGCTGATTGCTTTGAAATTGTTCATGAAGTTCCAGTTATGTTCAAGAACAACGCCTACAATTTTCGGTGATTATCAGATTAAAATTTTGGGATGAAATGGACCGAAAACATAATTTTTTGTGTGTTTTCGAGTAGAGTATAATCCGAAAATCACAACACAACCCACCGTGAAGGTAATCTGGACAAGTAATTAGAAGGACTGTACTGAATATTCAAAAAAGTATGTTGTTAACCTCTAATCGGACAAGAGGGGGCAAATATCACGAAATATTACTCAGACTCGGAATAAACATCGTCAGAAAGTTAGAGTTCGTGGTAGTTGTGTAGGGTATCGCATGGTCGGCCCCGTCCGACTATACTGCTCCGCTCACTGGTTTATCTATATATTAGCGAATTCAATAATCCGAACACGGAAAATTGTCAAAAATAGCTTCTGTGCATTCAACCCAAAATGTTTTAAAATATGCATGCCTTTATTAAATAAGTTTCTTCAATTCACTCATTCAAATTAAATAAATATTAATAGACTATGTATTTCCGTTAGTATCGAATTAAACGATATTTTCCCACGCGTCGATGCAGGAAGATTTGACTGCTGAATTAGGCAATAAATTTCAAAATTTGCTGAAGAGGCTAAACACAATGTCACAACAATCACTTTTTTCGCTAGGAAACCCCATTAATGAATAATGAATATTTTATTGGGTCATTAGTCAAACTGGTAATAAGTCATTTCGATGTTCGGTGATGTTTTTTTATTCGAATATATAAAAGTAAAATCGATGTCAATATGGAATCATTCAAGTTTCGCTAGAACTTTGGAAGACGATACTAGAACTCACGGTAAAGAAAGGATGCGTGCCTTTATTGTTCTAACATGCCTTATGGCCATGGCTTGTGCTGATCATTTGGGCCCCGATTATCATCCAGTAGGACGTAGTTATATACCACCAGGTGGTGTTGGAGCTACTTCTAATGCGGAACGTAGTTATATTCCTCCAGGTGAAGCTGGTGTGGGAGCTGCTTCTAATGTGGAACGTAGTTATATTCCACCAGGTGGAGCTGCCTCAAACATTGAATCCTCATACTCGGTGGGTGGACAAGGTTCGAATTTCCAGTCTGGTGCAGGATTTGGTTCTTCCAATGCTGCAGTGAGTTTCGGAAATACTGCTGCTTTTGATGCTGGAAACACAGATACATCTTTTGTAGCTGGAAACTCTAGCCCAACCTCCGTTAACTCCGTAACTGATTCCTCAGATTACACTGCACCTCAAGGCAATTATGAATCAGCTTCAAATACATCCCCTTTGGTTAGCGCTGGCGGCATTGAAAAGGAATTCTACACTTTTACTGCCGATGAAGAAGATTTTGCCCAACCCGCTGCCAGCAATCAATTTGAAAATTCCATCAAACAAGGAGTTCGAGTTATTTTCATTAAGGGTCCCGAAAATAATGGCCTGGAAAATGCCATCGTTAGCTTGGCTAAACAAGCTTCGGAACAAAAAACCGATATTTATGTCCTTACCAAACACGCTGATCTCGCCGAATTGAACAATAAATTGAATACCGCCAATGATAATGCCAATCATAAACCTGAAGTTCATTTTGTGAAATATCGTACCGCTGAAGATGCTGCCAATGCACAACACGCCATTCAAGCCGAATATGAAGCATTGGGTGGCCCAGCTCAATATTTTGATGGTGGTGTAGCTCCTTCATTGAACTTTGCTTCGCAAGCGCCTCTAGGTGAAACTGTAACAGCTGTGGCTCAGGGCAGTCAAGAATCGATGATCGTTACTATGGGCAATGTTGGTTCAACATATCTACCAGCTTCAGTTTTACGTCTATTCCGTTTGTAATTGTGACCTGAGCTTTTCTTATTGTTGTTGTTATGTTTTAATACTAAGCGAAATAAAGAAATTAATTAAAAATAAAAAAATACTTTGATTGGATAAGGAAACTATGATTAAGAAAATACCAAAATTCGGGCTTATACTTTATATAGGTCTCTGTGAACTTTTCCAGCTTATTTATAATCCTGACAACATTTCAACCTGAAACATATTCTTAAAAAATACACACTTATTGCTCTGATAATCCTTAAAAAATATTATTTTTGTTTAATCCACGCCAAAAAATGAACTTAAACCAGTAAGGAAAGTTCAGAAGTCGGACGGGGCCGACAATATGATACCCTTTACCAATTTGGGGACAAAATGGGACGAAAATGTATGTAGGAGCTATATTTAAATCTGATCATATTTCAACAAAACTTCACGGATGTCAACCTGTAGCAACTTCAATACGGTATGCAAAACATTGTCTTAATCGGAAAACGTTGACTGTTTGTACTCCATCTACATTAAATCGGGCAATACTAGATACGGGAGCTATATCATAATCTGACTCGTTTTCTATAAAACTTCGCACACATTAATCTGAACCTAATTCAGTGCGCTGTGCAAAATTCTGTCTCAATTGGACAAATATTGCCAGGTGCACAATTTACATAAAATCGGAGGAAACTATATATGAGAGCTATATATAAATCTGAATCGATTTCAACAAAATTAGGCATATAATTATCTAGACCTAATTTAGTACTCTGTGCAAAATGTTATCCCAATCAGACAAATGTTGGGAGTTTGGTGCACCATTTACATAAAATCGGACCAAACTATATATGTGAGCTATATCTAAATCTGAACCGATTTCAAGAAAACTTGGCATATATCTATCCAGAACTACTTCAGTATTCTGTGCAAAATTTTGTCTCAATCGGGCCAATATTGGGAGTTTGGTGCACCATTTACATTTCAACAAAATTTCGCATACGTAAATCTGGAACTAATTCAGAACTCTGTGCACAACTTTGTCTAAATCGGACCAATAATGGCAGTATGGTACTCCATTTACTTGAAATCGGACTATGTATGGGAGCTATATGTAAATCTGAACCGATTGCAATAAAACTTGACATATATCTATCCAAACCGAACGAAACTATATATGGGAGCTATATCTAAATCTGAACCGATTTTCTCCAATTTCAATAGGGTCAAATAATTGACTTGTGCAAAATTTCATCCAAATCGGATCATAAATGCGACCTGTACTTTGTTCACAAAAATGCATGGAAGGACATACGGACATGCTTAAATCGACTAAGAAAGTGATTCTATGCATATTCTCAAAAGGAACCATGGGTCTATCTCGATTACTTTTGCCTGTTACAAACATATACACAAACACATAATACCCTGTACCACAGTGTGGTGAAGGGTATAAAAATCCACGCCTTTGGCTCTTATAATCCTTAAACAAATATTTTTAAAAATTCCACGTCTTTGGATGTGATAATCTTTTCAAAAAAACTTAAAAAATGCACGCCTTTGGCTCTGATAATCCTTGAAAAAATATATTCTTAAAAAACCCACACCTCTGATAGTCCTCCAATAATAGTAGTTTTAAAAAACTCACACCTCTGATAATCCTTCAAATCCACGTCTCTGATAATCCTTCAAAAAATATGCTTATAAAATCCAGGCTTTTGATAACCCTTCATAAATATTCTTAAAAATCCAGGCTTTTGATAACCCTTCATAAATATTCTTAAAAATCCACCCTTCTGATAGTCCTTCAAAATATATGGTTAAAAAGTCCACGACTCTAATAATCCTTCAAAATATATGGTTAAAAAGTCCATCCTCCAAAAAATAATTTTTAATAGAATCCACGCCTCTGATAATCCTCAAAAACTTTTTTTAAAAAATCCACGCCTCTGATAATCTTCCAAAAAATATTTATAAAAAATCCCAGCCTGTGATTCTCCTAGTCTATTTTTAAAAAATCCACGCCTCTGATAAATCTTCAAAAAATATGCTTAAAAAAATCTACGTCTATGATTCTCCTAGATTATTTTTAAAAAATCCACGTCTATGATTCTCCTAGATTATTTTTAAAAAATCCACGCCTCTGATAATCCTTCAAAAAATATTTATAAAAAATCCACGCCTCTGATAATCCTCCAAAAAATATTTATAAAAAATCCACGCCTCTGATAATCCTCCAAAAAATATTTATAAAAAATCCACGCCTCTGATAATCCTCCAAAAAATATTTATAAAAAATCCACGCCTCTGATAATCCTCCAAAAAATATTTATAAAAAATCCACGCCTCTGATAATCCTCCAAAAAATATTTATAAAAAATCCACGCCTCTGATAATCCTCCAAAAAATATTTATAAAAAATCCACGCCTCTGATAATCCTCAAAAAAATATTTATAAAAAATCCACGCCTCTGATAATCCTCAAAAAAATATTTATAAAAAATCCACGCCTATGATTCTCCTAGATTATTTTTAAAAAATCCACGCCTATGATTCTCCTAGATTAAATATTTTCTCCTAGATAAAAAAATCCACGCCTATGATTCTCCTAGATTATTTTTAAAAAATCCATTTCTCCTAGATATTTTTAAAAATCCACGCCTATGATATTTTTAAAAAATCCACCCTAAAATTATTTTTAAAAAATCCACGCCTATGATTCTCCTAGATTATTTTTAAAAAATCCACGCCTATGATTCTCCTAGATTATTTTTAAAAAATCCACGCCTATGATTCTCCTAGATTATTTTTAAAAAATCCACGCCTATGATTCTCCTAGATTATTTTTAAAAAATCCACGCCTATGATTCTCTAGATTATTTTTAAAAAATCCAAGCCTCTGACAAATCTTCAAAAAATATGCTTAAAAAATCCACGCCTCTGATAAATCTTCAAAAAATATGCTTAAAAAATCCACGCCTCTGACAAATCTTCAAAAAATATGCTTAAAAAATCCACGCCTCTGATAATCCTTCAAAAAATATGTTTAAAAAATCCACGCCTCTGATAATCCTTCACAAAATATGTTTAAAAGCCACGCCTATTGTTCTAATAATATTCCTTCAAAAACTTTTTTTAAAACATCCACGCCTTTTACTCTGCTAATCCTACAAAATGTACTCTAGAAAAATCCTCTCCTATTGCTCTATTTCTCTCCTATTGCCCTCAAAATTTTTTTCTTAAAAAAATATTTTAAATTTTGAATTCATTTCTGTGTCGATATTAAAATTCAAACAAAAAAATCTATTTAAACATTTTAATAAATTTTATTCGAAATACAATAACAACTAATAAATAAGAAATAGGAAAAAGATCGTATCACGCTTCACCATTACTGACGGTGAACCGAAGCTGGCAAATATGTTGTTTTTGTAGCAGCTCCACTAGTATGTTGTTCATGACGAACGCTGGCTGCTGGAGAAACGGAGGCAAAATTCAAAGCCTTGGCCACACCACCATTGAAATACAAAGATTTACCATCAATAGCCGCATCGTATTCAGCTTGAATTGCACGTTGAGCATTGATAGCATCTTCATTGGTGCGATACTTGACAAAGTGGACATCGGGCTTGTGATTGAGATTTTCCGTTGATAAATTCACTTTATTGGCCAATTCCGAAAGGTCATTTTCTTTGGTCAAGACATAAATTGCCGTCTTATGTTCGGCCATTTGTTTGGCTACCTTAAGGATGGCATCTTCTAAACCGGTATTTTCGGGAGCCTTGATGAAAACTACACGCAAGTTTTGCTGTAGATTATCGAGCAATTCACCCGATGCAGATGGTTGATAGAAATCGTTTTCATCGGCGGTGAAGGTGTAGAACTCCTTCACCAATTGACCACGACCATTTGGAATATTGGAGATGGCACCAACAGAACCATAAGAGGAATCGTAGCTGGAGGAGGCGAAATTGGAGCCTGAATTGGTGGCACCGTAACTGGAACCGGTGTTGGAACCCGCAAAATTAGAACCATAATTCGAAGTGGAACTTAAACCGGAACCAATTGTGTAGGAGTTGGAACCGAATGTTGAACCAGAACCGGAAGCACCCAAAGAGGAACCTGATGAACCGGAACCAATTGTGTAGGAGTTGGAACCGAATGTTGAACCAGAACTGGAAGCACCCAAAGAGGAACCTGATGAACCGGAACCAATTGTGTAGGAGTTGGAACCGAATGTTGAACCAGAACCGGAAGCACCCAAAGAGGAACCTGATGAACCGGAACCAATTGTGTAGGAGTTGGTACCGAATGTAGAACCAGAACCGGAAGAACCCAAAGATGAACCTGAATTGAAGCTGCCGAAGGAAGGAGCTGAGCCAGATACCGCGAAGCTGGATGTACCAAATGTTGGTGTTGACTTGGAAGCAGTGAATTTTGAATCGCTGCCGGTTGAAACCAAGGATGGACTGGCAGCAACAAAAGCGGCACCAGTACTGGATCCAATTAATTGAGAAGTCAACTTATTGCTATCGTAATTATTTCCTGAGCTGGAACCACTTGAAACAGAAGAAATGAAACTGGATCCAACACTGGACAGGGGAGAGCCGGATGTACTGATTTTAGATTCGTAATTAGAATTACTGTAACTGCTGCCAGAAGCGGGAAGAATAAAACTAGATCCAACGTTAGAGACTGGTGAGTTTGAGGCACTGAATTTAGAATCTGAGCCAGAGCTTGGACCCGATCCAAATGAAATAGAGTCGAAGCTGGAACTGACAGTAGTGGGACCAGAACTGGAAGCAACACTGGAACCACCGAATGCAGGTGTACTACTGGAAATAGTGAACGAGGAACTGGCAGGGGCTCCATTGGTAGTGGAGTATGTCGAATCTGAGGAGGATTGGAAGCCATTGGTGAAGCTACCTGTATTGGAACTACTGAACGACGGAGCGGAACCAGATATCGTGAAACTGCTACCACTTGTAACTGGAGAAGAGCTGGTAACACTGAATTGAGTATCTGAGCCTAAAGTGCTGACACTAGGTGTTGAGGCTGGTGTAGCAACCAAATCTGAGGCAAAGCTGGTACTTCCGGAATTTGATGCAGTGAAAGATGGGGCAGAGTTAGAAACAGTAAAACTGGAACCGCTGTTAGCTGGGGATAAGCTTGAAACAGTGAATGTTGAAGAATCTGAGCTAGAGCTGCTGGCAGTATCTGAGCCTAAGGTGCTGGCACTAGGCGCTGAAACTGGTGTAGAAACCAAATCTGAGGCAAAGCTGGTACTACCGAAATTGGAGCTAGTGAAAGCAGGGGCCGAGTTGGAAACTGTGAAACTGGCGCCACTGGTAACAGGCGATGAACTGGATACCTCAAATTTAGTATCTGAGCTCGAGGTACTGACGACGGGGTTTGAACTAGATGTGACAAAATCAGAGTCTGAATTGAGACCGCCAAAGGTGGTGCCTGTATTGGAACCAGAAACAGTGATGCTACCTTCACTTGAAGCAGGCACTGAACTGAAGGTGCTGAATGATGATTTGGAGCTTGAGGTGGTTAAAGGTTCGTTGCTGGAAATAGTGAAACTGCTTCCACTTGTAGCAGGCAAGGTACCTGAGGTGCTGAATGATGTTTCAGAACTTGAGCTGGTCAATGGTTCGATGCTGGAAATAGTGAAACTACTTCCACTTGTAGCAGGCGATGAACTGGAAGTGCTGAATGATGATTCGGAGCTTGAGGTTGTTGAAGGTTCGTTGCTGGAAATAGTGAAACTGCTTCCACTTGTAGCAGGCAAGGTACCTGAAGTGCTGAATGATGTTTCAGAGCTTGAGCTGGTCAATGGTTCGGTGCTGGAAATAGTGAAACTGCTTCCACTTGTAGCTGGCGATGAACTGGAGGTACTGAATGATGATTCGGAGCTTGAGGTGCTTAAAGGTTCATTGCTGGAAATAGTGAAACTGCTTCCACTTGTAGCAGGCAAGGTACCTGAAGTGCTGAATGATGTTTCAGAGCTTGAGCTGGCCAATGGTTCGGTGCTGGAAATAGTGAAACTGCTTCCACTTGTAGCAGGCAAGGTACCTGAAGTGCTGAATGATGTTTCAGAGCTTGAGCTGGCCAATGGTTCGGTGCTGGAAATAGTGAAACTACTTCCACTTGTAGCAGGCGATGAACTGGAGGTACTGAATGAAGAATCAGAGCTTGATGTGGTCAAGGTTGGAGCTGTGTTGGAGCCACTAAAAGAGCTAGAAAGAGAGAAACTGATTCTAGTAGGTGACGAACTGGTTGTACCGAATGAGGAATCTGAGCTTGAGGTGATCACAGAAGAAGCTGTGTTGGAACCACTCAATACAGGAGAAGAGCTGCTGACTGTGGAACTAGCTTCTTTGGTGGCGGGCAATGAGCTAGAAGAGTCGAATGAGGACTCTGAGCTTGATGTGATGGCGCCTGAAACTGTATCAGAACCACTCAATAGGGGAGAAGAGCTGGAAATAGTAAAGCTTGATTCCTTGATGACCGGTGCTGAGCTGGAGGAACTGAATGTTGAGAATGAGCTTGTTGAGGTTGAGGCTGGTGCTGTGAAGCTAGATTCGCTTGTTGTTGGCGAGGAGCTCGAAACACTGAAAGATGAATCAGAGCTAGAGGTGGTTATAGAAGGCTCGGTTTTTGAAACACTGAATGTGGTTTCGCTGGTAACCGGTGAAGAGCTTGATGTGCTGAATGATGATTCCGAGGTGGCTGGAATTGCATCGAGACCAACGGTTGCAGAGGCTGAATCAGAGCTAGTGGTAGTCTTTGAAACACTGATTGTGGTTTCACTTGTAACCGGTGAGGAGCTTGAGGTGCTGACTGATGATTCCGAACTGGCTGGAATTGCATCGAAGGTAAGGCCAACGGTTGCAGGGGCTGAATCAGAGCTTGAGGTGGTTATGGTCTGCTCGGTTTTTGTAACACTGAATTGAGTTTCACTTGTAGCCGGTGAGGAGCTTGATGTGCTAAATGAGGATTCCGAACTTGCTGGAATTGGATTGAAAAAGAGAGGGGCTGTACCGGATCCACCCACATTGAATTTTGTACTAGAACTACTGGATGTCAAGTCAACGGACGAGTCAGTATTAGATGTCAGCGATTCAACGGATGGTTTAGATACCATCGAACCGGTAACCAAGCTTAAGAGTCCACTGCCGCTTTCCGAAGTTTCAACAGTCTTACTGCCGGAACTTAATTCGCCATTATCATTACCAGTGTTACTTGCTTCGCTTACAATGATTTCGCTTGAGCTGCCTTCATTTTCGGATCCCATTAATGTTGTATCCATGTTTGAAACATCAGTATCCTGTTCAGATTTAATTGCACCGATTACAACAGCACTATCACCTGTCATTTCCGTACCAGAAGTAATGCTGGAAACTTCAGTATTACCATCCATACTGCTATCACTGGCGACAATATCACTATCTGTGTTACCGATCATTTCAGCTCCAGTAACAATGGAGACCAAGCTGGAAACGCCTTCATCATTGATGGTATTTGAAGAACCACTAACAATGGAATTATCAGAGTCCATTTTGATTCCCTCGACTTCCGAATCGGACGTCAAGCTATCACTTCCAGTACTGACGGCACTGCTTACAACATCACTATCGGTGGATAAGCTGCCACCGAAACCAGTTATCAATGTGGAAACCTCGGCATCACCTTCCTTATCACTGGCCATGCTTACACTTTCAGTCATACTGGCACTGCTTACGACATCACTATCATCACCACCATTCATTTCCGCTTCAGCAATCATGCTTACAACAACACTTTCACTTCCGGCACTGTCATCACTGATCACATTGTCACTGACCACAATTGAATCTGCAGCACTGCTACTGTCATCCGAATTATCCACTACTGAATTGGTAGTTTCAAAGATTGAAACTGTTTTAGTAGAAGAACTTTTCAGACTAGCTGGTCCACTGACATCTTTAGCTCCAGCTCCAAAAGCACTATATGTTTTAGCTTTTCCACCAGTTCCAAAAGCACTATATGTTTTAGATTTTCCACCAGTTCCAAAAGCACTATATGTTTTAGATTTTCCACTGCCAGCTTTGCTTACACTGCTGACAATTTCAAACTTGCCTCCTGCAGCATTGGCTATCTCGTAAACGTAACCTTTTCCAGCATAAGCGCATGCCACCAGGCACAAAATGACTAGAATCCGCATATCACAAAAAATTATTTTCCCCCAAACTAGCGTTCACACTAACCGATGACGAGAATAATTCTAAAATGTTAAATGATTTCACTTTTATATATACCCTTGGGTAGTTTTTTTATTCTTGTATGATGAAGCTGGAACATATGTCACCGCATAGTTGTGGTTCAAAATTGCCACAAAACAACTTCAAATTTGCATTATATTTTTGCATTTCATACAATTTAGTTTTGTTTTCTTCGCCGCATACAGGTTTCGCATAACTGGCCAAAACATAAATTGTTCTAATCCAGACACTGGATATAATTAAGAAAGCTAGTTGATCAACTATTTTGTAGAATGAAAAGTGGATCGTTGATGCTTTCACGTGCCGAAACATTTTATAATAGAACGGCATTTGATAATAGAACGGTAGTTAGTAAGAGGTGAAATGGGCTGAACCGACTATATTAGGTGCTACACTATGATTTCCTTATCGATCTCTCGAATACATGTATTTATTAAAGTAGATATATGTATAGCCTACGCATCTACTAATGTTATAAGTGTGCGGAAAATTGGAAAGATACCAGAGGTTATGTCATTTGATTGATGATTGTGGAGGAAAAAAACTAAACTCTGAAAAAATTATATAGAACTCCCATATGGTTTCTGTTATCCAAATTTCATACCATCCAAATTTTAACTATTACTAGTGTGTGTTCTTCCGTTAACTATACGATGGATATGATTTTTGCACAACAATATTTATGAAAATTTAGTAATCCACATGTGTATGTTGTATAGCTTTGGGTTCTGTTATGTTAGCTTTTCCTTCCCTTTCCTTTAAAATTTTAATTTTAGTTTTTTGTTGGGGTATTCTCCCAAGAAGCTATTTATTGCTTCTTTACAAAAACCAATTCGAAGTGCCTACGTTACCAGCGATACGACCTCATTGCCTTACTTTCCCCAATAATAAATAGTTGGTATTTATAAAAACAACAACCTGGGATTCAGCCTGACTATTTTGCAAAAACAATTTTCATTAATTTGTTTGTAACGCAACCGTGTACGTATACATTTATGGGTCCTGATATGGTAGCTACCACTTCCCATTCATGTTTTCGTCTTCATTGGCTACGAGTAGTTTTTTGCAGAAACAATATTTATGAACGTTTTTTTTAACCCTCCACCATAGTATGGAGGGTATATTAATTTTGTTTTTCCGTTTGTAACTCACCGAAATAATTATTTCATAAACTTCTATGAAGATTTAGCCATGTCCGTCTGTATGTTGTAATCACTCTAGCCTCTGAACGAATTGAGATAGATCGCCAAAATTTTGCATAGAGTAGTCCTTTGTCTTCAGGCAGGTCATGTTCGAAGATGGACTATATCGGTCCATGTTTAGTCATAGCTCTCATATAAGTGTACCCCTCATTAACGGTATTTTGGGGTTCTTGAGTGTGTGTTTCAACTGAATTCGCTGATATTTGGTAAATTATAAATATAAGTCCACTTTTTCTGGTAGCCCCCATGTAAGGATATTCTCCAATTTTCGGTATTTTAGCGTATTTTTGACTGAGTTGGCTGTAATTACATACGTTGAATTCTAAATGGGTAGCAAATCTCACCACAAGAAATTATAAATATAGGTCAATTTCCGGTAGCCCCCATATAAGGGTACCCTCCAATTTCGTTATTTTCGGATACGTTTTTCAACCGAAAGTCGCTGTAATTTGGTACTTATATGGTAACAAAGTTCCCTACCTAAAATTGGCATAGCGTACTAAATTGAGTCTGTAAAGATGTATGCTAAGTTTCGTGAAAATCGGTTCAGATTTAGATATAGCTCCCACATATATTTTCGTCCGATGTAACGTAAATGATGTACTAAAGTCCCTATATATCTTTCAATTTTTAAAGTTTGTCCGATTGACCCACAATTATGTATAATATACTGAAGTTAATAAAAATTACTCTCATGCAAAGTCGTTGAAATGGGTTCAGATTTAAATATAGCGTACGGCGTGTATCAAGTTTGCTTTAAGGGGACCCCCCCCATTCTAGGGGTCAAATTTTTTTTGATTTAATTCGATTCTACACTAATTCAAGAACGTCTCTACAAAATTTCAAGTGAAAATCTCAAGAACTCTTGAAGATATAGCCGATTTATTGTGTCAGCATCAAGTGACGGCTAAAGGGCTTCTCAAACTTTAAACGCGTTTTTCTCTTTTGCGAATGGCGGGCACGATAACTCAAAAACTAATAACCCAATCGATTCCAAATTTTTACACGTTTCTCTGTGAGTGTATAGCTATTGTATGAACTAGGATAAAGCCAATCGGTGAAGATCTTCCATATTTTTTAATTTGGTTTTTGGTCAAAAATCGGCGATTTTCCAAAAATATTTTTTCAAAGGTCCGCCATTTTGTTAATTTTAGAGCGAAGTCAATAATCCTAGTTCATACGAGAGCCAGACATGTATTCTTTCTAACACCGTTGGAATTTTCGGATTCCGATGTTCCAGTGAGGAGTTATCATGCCCGCCATCAAAAATAAGGACTTTTCTTTAAGTACAAAAAACAACATCAAAGCAATAACAAAAATTTTTTGTAAATTATTTTTCTTCTCTTTTAAATCTTCAAATATATATGTGCAAAGTTGCAAACCTTAACAAGCATTGGTATTGATTTACCAGCCCATTGAAAATCTTGAAAAATTAAAATAGAAAATGGGTGGGGTTCCCTTAAATTGATTAGTCCCATTGTAAGCAAATAGTTCTAAATCTGTCCGAATGAAATTAAATTTTGCATAGGTTGCAGAAAGGCATATGTATGAATTGATGTTAGTCGTTTCACTTATAAATAAAAATCATATATTTAAGCTTGTTCAACTTCAGGTTAGGCTACATATATGTATCCTATAGCGAAATGGTGAAGGGTATCATATAGTCGGCCCAGTTCGACTTTACTACTTTCCTTACTGGTTTGTATTAAAATAGTTATCTGATTAGTTTCGTGTGTTGGGTTGTCCCCATATAGGAGTATTTTTGTCAGTTTATACCCTACAAAGTATGGAATTCTATGCCGTTTTAGCCATCTTTCGTCTTCTAAGGACGGCATATCCCCCATATAATGATATCTCCTGAAGGAAAGTATTGAGATACAAAACTTAAATTTTGGGTTCGAAATTGCGCTATATTGGTCAATAATTAGGCATAACCCCAAGTATTCGCTAATACCTAGCTATGTATTCAATATTGATCCTCCTGTAGGCATAGTCTCATATAACTTTGCACTATAAATTGTAGTAGTTTGAGGATATTATACACATATTCCACTCTACCATGTGTTATCAATATCAATCCACGTTTTGGGATTTTCAGATCACTGAAATTTTTATTTGGGTACATAATGGTTTACATAAATTGGTTTGTAGAAATAACGGTATAGGTCCACTTTTTGGCATGTTCCCTATATTCTCATTTCAACTAACTTTCAGTATACCTATGGTGGAGGGTGACCAATGTTCAGCCCGGCTTAACGCTTTTCACTTGTTTTAATTTCAACAGGCACACGTAAGCGGTATAAATAATTTCAATCATTTTTTTTATAGTGAAAATGAAGTAAAAATATTATTTTAAGATGTCATTAAATAAGTTATCAAAAATCCTTATACAAAACACATGTTCTTTAATAAATGCTTTTTTAGTTGCATTGTCGTTCAAAAGCTTTCAGGGGGAGTAGGGTGCTACAAATGCTACCCGAATTTAAATTTAAGATAGCTTTTTTACTTCTTCACTTTTCCTTTCGCTTTAGTTCTTTAAATTATTTCACAATGAATAGATGAAAAACAAGTTATATAGTTTGTTTTTATCAAATTGGAAACTACAAAAAAAGAAGAACTTTCAAAAGCTATTCAAAATTGTTTGCGGTTTTTTTATACGACCTGTTATGCGAATTTTTGATGAACAAATTAGTTGCAAAGTCTCTATTGAAAGAATACACCGTTCTAAATTGCGTTATTTTATATAGAATGTGGATTGTCAAAACAAGAAATCTTGAAACTTATTATATATGCAATTTTATTCTCAAAATAAGTGAAAGTGAATATTCAGAATATAATTCTGTAGATGATAAAACCGGAAATTTGTTAAACAAAAAAAAAAAAAAAAAAAAAACATAAAAAAATTATACAGAATTTTTTATGACTAATGAAAGTTTTTTTTTTTGTTCACAAAATTAATAAAAATGTGCAATTTCATTAATTGTTAATAGAATTTTGAATAGTGTTTTTAAGGAAATTGTTAAGATATGTTTGGAATAAATAGTGTTGTTTTCTAATGACAGGATCTACAAAACTGCCATTTTCGAAGATATGAAGAGCTTCCATTAAGAATCTATTGTTATTCTACCATGTTTCTTTAGACCAAAACCTTTTCAGACAAGGGAATAACCGGTGTCGTTCAAATTATGTACATTATTTATTATTTATTTATTTTTTATTTATTTATTTATTTTTTTTTGAAAACTTAAATCAGGTTCGAAAAGTAGACCCAAAAATTAGCTGAAACATAAATTTGTAACATCATGCGAACTGATTTTGCACAACCTAAACGTTATATATTTACCTTATACAGATAAAGTTCGAAGGTGAGACCCGTCGGTTCACTAGTTCTTTCCCACAATATGTCAAAAAATTCAATATTTATTACTCCAATGATCCAAAACATGCCACTTGATCCCGTTCCGAAGATGGTCAAGTCTTCTATAAAAAAAATATACCTCATATAAAGCGAAATAAAACCTGTATGTAATTCCGTAGATTTCCGCACACCATTGGCTGAGGGTATATTTTTGTCGGCAACATACGGACATGTATATTTTATAAAAATTGTATGCTGAGCAAGATCTTTCGATTTGCTCGAAATTTGGCACAGCGTAATAAATTAGGTCTAGAATGATGTGTGTTAAGTTTCCTGAAAATCGGTTCAGATTTTGATATAGCTCCCATATATCGTTTCGTCCGATTTAAGGTAAATGGTGTACCAAAGTCCCTACATATCTTTCGAATTGCACGAAATTTGGCATAACGTACTGAATTAAGCCTAGAGTGATGTCTGCCAAGTTTCAAGAAAATCGGTCCAGATTTAGATAAAGCTCCCATATATAGTTTCGTCCGATTTCATGTAAATGGTGCCCCAATGTCCCTATATATCCTTCGATTTGCAGGAAATTTGGCATAACGTACTTAAATGAGCCTAGAATGATGTCTGTCAAGATTTATGAAAATCGGTCCAGATTTAGATATAGCTCCCATATATAGTTTCGTCCGATTTCATGTAAATGGTGCACCAAAGTCCCTATATATCTTTCGAATTGCACGAAATTTTGCATTACGTACTGAATTAAGCCTAGAGTGATGTCTGCCAAGTTTCAAGAAAATCGGTCCAGATTTAGATATAGCTCCCATATATAGTTTCGTCCGATTTCATGTAAATGGTTGGGGGCACCATTTACACCTATATATCCTTCGATTTGCAGCAAATTTGGCATAACGTACTTAATTGAGCCTAGAATGATGTCTGCCTTGTTTCGTGAAAATCGGTCCAGATTTTGATATAGCTCGCTTTTATTATAGATTGATTTTAAGTTATTAACGCACAATGGAACCAATAGGAACAAAACGTTCTGAAATTAGTATAACCTAACCTGTGACAAGTTTGTTTGAAATCGCTTAATATTTGGATAGAGCTTCCATATATATTTTCGCCCGATTTCAAGTAAATTGGGCATCAAACTCCTCATGTTAGTCAGATTGACATCAAATTTTGCACAACGTACAAAATTGAGCATAGAATTACGTAGTTGCGTTTTCTAGAAGTACAGACATAGCCCAACGGATGACCTATTTATATTTGTTTGAAGTCGATTTACATACTTTATGGATAGATCTAGGTAGATTCACATTTAGATAAATATCACATATTTTATTTCATCCAATTTCTTGTTAATAGTCCTGTTTAATATACCCATAGTGGTGAAGGGTATCATATAGTCGGCCCCGTCCGACTTTACTACTTTCCTTACTGGTTTTGTTTTTTTTTGTGTTCACAAAATTAATAAAAATATGCAATTTTATTAATTGTTAATAGAATTTTGAATAGTGTTTTTAAGGAAATTGTTAAGATATGTTTGGAATTAATAGTGTTGATTTCTAATGACAGGAACTACAAAACTGCCATTTTCGAAGATCTGAAGAGCTTCCATTAAGAATCTATTGTTATTCTGCCAGCCTTATGTCTAATGAGGATATGCCTCTTCGGAATATTGGTCTTAGACCCCATGTTTCCTTAGACCAAATCCTTTTCATACAAGGGAATAACCGGTGTCGTTCAAATTATGTACATTATTTATTATTTATTTAGTTTTTATTTATTTATTTATTTATGTTTTTTTTTTTTTTTTTTTGAAAACTTAAATCAGGTTCGAAAAGTAGACCCAAAAATTAGCTAAAACATAAATTTGTAACATCATTCGAACTGATTTTGCACAACCTACCTCCCATAAACGTTACACATTTACCTTATACAGATAAAGTTCGAAGGTGAGACCCGTCGGTTCACTACTTTTTTCCCACAATATGTCAAAAAATTGAATATTTATTACTCCAATATCAAGAGAATTGAATATCCGATTTGATCCAAACCATGCCATTTGATCCCGTTCCGAAGATGGTCAAGACTTCGATAAAAACATATACCTCATATAAAGCGAAATAAAACCTGTATGTAATACCGTAGATTTCCGCACACCATTGGCTGAGGGTATATTTTTGTCGGCAACATACGGACGGACATGTATATTTTATTAAAAATTGTATGCTGAGCAAGAATTTATGTTACGATTTGGATGAAATTTAGCATAGGCCACTTATTTGGCCCAAGGGCGAACCCTATTGAAATTGGGAAAAATCGGTTCAATTTTAGATATAGCTCCCATATATATTTTCGTCCGATTTAATTTTAAAAGGTCCACCAAAGTCCTTATAGATCTTTCGATTTGCACGAAATTTGGTACAACGTAATGAATTATGTATAGAATGATATGTGTTAGGTTTCCTGAAAATCGGTTCAGATTTAGATATAGCTTCCATATATATTTTCGTCCGATTTAATGTAAAAGGTCCACCAAAGTCCCTATATATCTGTCGATTTGCACGAAATTTGGTATAGCGTAATGAATTAGGTCTAGAATGATGTGTGTTAAGTTTCCTGAAAATCGGTTCAGATTTTTATATAGCTCCCATATATATTTTCGTCCGATTTAATATAAATGGTGCACCAAAGCCCCTTAATATCTTTCGATTTGCACGAAATTTGGCACAGGGTAATGAATTAGGTCTAGAATGATGTGTGGTAATTTTCCTGAAATCGGTTCAAATTTAGATATAGCTTCTATATCTGAGCAAATGAAAAATTTAGTATCGATTGCAGAATGACAAGTTTATAGATCCAATTTCATTTTACTGGTCCTTTAAAAATGTGACGTCTTTTAGGATTCATCTGTTGCATATATCCAAAGTGGTGCAGGGTATCATATAGTCGGCCCGTCCGACTTTACTACTTTCCCTACTTTTTTTTGCTCTTTTAAGAGAACACATTTTATAAAAATGATATGATCATTGCCTTTTAATATTTGACCTTGCTGGGCACCCGATTATAGAGAAATTAATCTATAAATCACTTTGTTGGTAAAGAAAATTAATTTATTTATTTTTGTACATCATTATGGAAGATTGTGAAAATTTTGCTATCAAAATTTTGCTATTTGCATTACCTAATCTACTTGCGACGGAGACGACGCAAAATAGCAGCTGGCAAATAATTTTGACTCAAGCTAGCACCAGATGCAGGAGCAACATAAGAACTTGCTGGAGCTGAAGCAGCACCATATGATCCCTTAGAAGCAAAATTCAAGGCAGGAGCAACACCACCATTGAAATGTTGGGAAGTACCACCCAAACTGTCGTATTGGCTTTGGATAGCGCGTTGAGCATTGGCAGCATCTTCAGGGGTACGGTATTTCACAAAATGAACTTCAGGTTTGTGGTTAACATTGTTGTTGATTCTACTGAATTTATCAGCCAAACCGGCAAGATCAGGTTGTTTGTTGAGGACATAAATGGCAGTACGTTGTTCAGCAGCTTGTTTAGCCAAGCCAAGGACAGCATCTTCCAAACCATTATTTTCAGGACCTTTGATGAAAATAACACGAAGATTCTTCTTAGCGACTCTGTTGTATTGATTGGAGGCAGCTGGATCATTGAAGTCAGCATCATTGGCGGTGAAGGTATAGAATTCCTTTTCCAAAGTTGAACTTTGAGGAGCAAAGGAAGGAGTTACACTGCTGGCAGCTCCATAATTTCCACCACTAGTACCGGCACCATAATTATATTGGGCACATGCCGAGGCCACCAAGCACACAAGAATGAAAGCACGCATCTTCCTCACCTTGAGTTGTGATATTTGTTGATAGTACAAAAACTCGAACTTAGAATGATTTCGAAATGCATTGCTTGCATCTTTTATATAAACGAAATTCGAAATTTGTAAACAAAAACAATGCCACAATTCCAATACCACCCACAAAACTATCCACATTCTTCCTATCTGGAATTCCCATTAATCCCTATGAATTATGGCAAATTTCCATTTATTAGTAGTTTTATTTTATTGAAAATATTAAATATATTTCAATTTAGATTTAAGTATAACTAATTCGTTCTTTGTTCTAAAACCGGCTCATTTAATATTTGTTATCTTAATTAATTTGCCACTTTTATGATATTTATTAAATTTTTAATTCAAATGCGGTATTATGATGTTTGTTGAGTTCAGTGTTCAAATGCTCTTGCGAGTTGTCCAGTTAATAAAATGAAATCAATTTTAACAACGCTACACATTTCCTGCAACATTCCCTATTGCCTAATCACAATATATTTTGAGTTATTTATGAAGAGGTAAAATCAATGGTGTATGAAAAGGTTTTGCTTTTGGTCACACACTAACGCGTTATCATGGTGCAGAATCCATGTTCAGTTACTGATTGTTTCCTTATTAATCAAGAGAATTCAAAACACTAAATTATAGCTATGTGGGAAGTATAGCTATATGACAGATATCCTTAAAGGTGGTCCAATATTAATAATAATTTTAGTAGAAATATTTGCGAAGCAGCATACTCGAGCGGGGTCGACCATATTATACCCTACACAACTACCACTAAACTCAAATTTTCTTCTGATCTGCCTGGAAAATTTTTTACCCTGGCCCCTTTTTTGAATCATGTTTTTCTAGAGACAGAACATTTACGTCATAAGATTCAAATATTGTTATTTTACTCATAAAATATTGGTTCATTTGACCCGCAACAAAACATATCGTACGAATACAGCAGTTTGTCATGGTCGGCTTATAATAGAGGCCTATGGAGTGTTTAGAAAACCTGACAAGAATCTATGATAATCACCGAAAAGTATAACCATCTTCAGCTCTTAAAAACTTTCTGTAGAAATTTTTGCAAACCAAACCTACACAACCACCACTAAAATCAAACTTTCTGCTGATCTGCCTGCAATTTTTTTACCCTGGCCCCCTTTTTGAATCATGTTTTTCTAGAGACAGAACATTTACGTCATAAGATTCAAATATTGTTATTTTACTCGTAAAATATTGGTTCATTTGACCTGAAAAAAACCCGATCGTGCGAATACAACAATTTGTGATGTTCGACATATAAAGAGGCCTATGGATTGTTTAGAAAACCTGACAAGAACCTATTATCATCACCGAAAAGCATAGGCATCGTCACCTCTACATATACGCCCTCTTCTAGTGCGGTTATGGTAATACTAATCAATATCCGAATAGGTAGACCCCTGTACATATTTACGAATATCTCCTACATCCGAGTACATACAACAATACAATTGGCATCAATTTAAAGGTCAACCAATACTCTTGGATATAGGGACAATTTCTCCGGCCTATGTTCCTCTGGTGTAAATATATACGCCATATAAAGTACATTTTGTCATTATACCATTCACCACACTGTGGTACAGGGTATTATGTCTTTGTTCATATGTTTGTAACAGGCAAAAGGAATCGAGATAGACCCATAGTTCGTTTTGAGAATATGTATAGACTCCCTTTCTGTGTCGATTTATGTATGTTCGTCCGTTCATGTATTTTCGTGAACAAAGTACAGGTCGCATTTACGATCCGATTTGGATGACATTTGGCACACGTCACTTATTTGGCCCCAAATGGAACACCATACTGCCAATTTTGGTCCAATTGAGACAACATTTTGTACAGAGTACACACTTAGGATTAGATTGATATACACCAATTTTTGTTGAAATCGGTTCAGATTAAGATATAGCTTCCATATATACTTTCGTCAGATTTTTTGTAAACAGTGCACTGTTTACATAAAATCGGACCAAAGGTTGTTCGATTGAGACAAAATTTTGCACAGGGTACTGAATTAGGTCTAGATTGATATATGCTCAGTTTTGTTGAAATTTGTTCATATTTAGATATAGTTCCCATATATAGTCTAGTCCGATTTTATATAAATGGTGCACCGAGGAGTTCGGATGTAGGTGTATCTCCCTCATATATTTTCGTCCGATTATATGCAAATGGATTGAAGACGATTCAGGTTTAGATATAGCTTCCATATAGATTTTCATGCCATTTTATCAAAATGATGTACAAGGTAACTTAAGTTTGTCCGCTTAGGACGAATTAGTGCACAACGTACCAAATCGAACCTAGAATAAATTATATTGGATTTTGTATGTGTATGGATTGTTTTAAATTAGGTCAGATATCTATGTACGCAGTTAATTTCGTCCGATTCCATTTCAATGGCCCTCCAAAGATGCTATGCCTATTCTATCAAAAGGTAATTGTACATATGAAAATCTCTTCACCAAAAGAGGTGAAGGGTAACATATAGTCGGCATCGTCCGACATTTGAACTTTCCTTACTAGTTTTCGTATGGATGTTTGATTAACAAGAAGAAAATAAATTTTTCAATTAAAAACAATTCGCTTAAAGAATGTATACAAATCTTTTAAATACCAATGAAAGAGAATACCGTTCTATGGGTAGCTGATATTTACAATTTTTGGTAGTGGGAATCGCTTCAAAAAGAGTTCCAAATGCTTAAAGTAACAAACCAGAGAGGGGAGCAGTATAGACGAACAGGACCGACATACACAACTGCAACTGAACTCAAACTTTCTACTGATCTGTATTCCTATCATGGACACTATTTCGCGACAACTGCACCCTCTCGATCGATCAAAGGTCAACAGACCCTCTTTCTTACCCTGGCACCTTTTCCGAATCATGATATTCCGGAGTGAATATCATTGCAATAAGATTCAAAATTTGTTATCGTGACTGATTGTATGAATGCAGCAATTCTAATTTGTTGGCCAGATCCCCTTCCAGAGAAAAAATTGTGATGTTCGGCTTTTAATAGAGGCTTATGGAGTGACTAGAAAACCTTTCAAAAATATATATTTTGGTCCATTTTATACCCTATGTATATGGGAGCTATATCTAAATCTTAACCGAGTTTCACGAAACTTAGCACACATCGTACTAGACTTAATTCAGTAAGCTATGCCATATTTCGCAAATCAAAAAAAAAAAAAAAAAAAAAAAAAAAAATCAAATTGAAGCGCTTTGGTGCCCCATGACATGGGAGCTATATTTAAGGGGACCCCCCATTCGCGGGGTCAAATTTTTTTGATTTAGTTCAAACCTATATTAATTCAAAAATGTCCCTATAAAATTTGAAGTGAAAATCTCGACAAGTTTTGAAGATATAGCCGATTTATTGTGTTATTAACAAGTGACAGCAAGAGGGGTTCCCAAACTTTAAACGCGTTTTTCTCCAAACAGCGAATGGCGGGCACGATAACTCAAAAACTAATAACCCAATTGATTTCAATTTTTTACACGTTTTTCTGTGAATTTATAGCTATCGTATGAAATAGGATAAAGTCAATCGGTGAAGATATTCCTTATTTTTTAACTTGGTTTTTGGTCAAAAATAGGCTATTTTCCAAAAAAAAAAAAAAAAATCATAGTTTCACCATTTTGTTAATTGTTGTGCGAAGTCAATAATCCTAGTTCATAAGAGAGTTAGACATGTACACTTTCTAACACCGTTAGAATTTTCGGATTCCGATGTTCCCTTAAATAAATTTGTGTCATTGTACGCAAACTACTCTCAATCTGACCGAATGAACATAGTTTGCAGAATTGCATATTTATGGATTGACATTTTTAATTTCGTCCAATTTCATGCCATCGAAAAGGCGACGTTTCTTAGGATACATGTGTAATATATATATATATATATATATATATATATGGTAAAAGGTATCATATAATCGACTCCGTCCGACTTTATTATTTTCCTTACTGGTTTCTTTATCCATTTTTCGAAAACAATATTGTAAGTTGTTTTTCAGGACTAGCTTTAACCTAATAAGCTATCCTGTGGTAACTTGGAAGTATTTCCACAAATGTTCCAATTACCTAACCTTGTAACAAAATATATTTCTGTTTAAATGATATTAGTTGTATTTTAAATATTATAACACACACACATAAAAAAAAAATTAAAAATTCTAATTTAAAATTTCATTTTTGTTGTTTTTGTTTATTAATCAAACTTCTTCTGACCGCATTTTATAATGACAAACTGGATTACCGTGAAACGATAAAAATACGCCATTAAATACCATTCGGGTTTTGAGTAACGAACGAAAAAAAATCCACTTCAGCCATGTAGACTTTGTTTGGCGAAAAGTAGTTTTCCTTCACAAAAAAAGAAGATCGAACAAACATATTTTTAATAGTTTCAACTTAATATTCATTCAAATTAATATTATTCTGATCACATTTACGATATGAGGGTGTCTAGATCAGGTTGTCTAAGTTTAATGGTAACGAATAAAGAATTATGAACACAGTATTTTTTTTTTTTTTTTCTAAAACAACATTTATTTAACAAACAAAAAATAACAACAAATTTACATATAGAGTGAAGAACAAAACTGATTGTCATCAATTTTCAATTCGATTCAATTTGATTCAGTCTTAAATATTACCTCTTGCCTCAGTTAGGCACTTTAATGGCGGAATAGACTAAGAAGAGAAGCAGGCAAATAATTGGTGCTAGGTTCATCAACTGGAATTGGTGGTGGAATATAGGTGTTGGAGGGTTCCGAGGTAGCTGGGGGAATATAGGTGGTAGTGGGTGCTGGTGGAACATAGGTTTTTGGTGGGGTAGTGGCAGGAGTTGGTGGGATATAGGTTTTCTCAGGAGTAGCAGGAGCCACTGGAGCTGGGGGAATGTAGCTCGTTGAGGGTTTAGAAACAGCTGGAGGGATGTAGCTGTTGGATGTTGCAGTACCATAGTTGTTTGATCCAGAAGTGACAACAGACACTTGAGAAGCAAAGTTCAAGACTGGAGCAACACCACCATTAATAGTTCTAGTATTACCACCCAAACCATTGTACTGATCTTGAATGGCACGTTGGGCATTGAGGGCATCTTCAGCGGTGCGGTACTTGACAAAATGAACTTGGGGTTTGTTGTTGTTACCAGAGTTGATAGTGTTAAGTTTGTTGGCCAAACTGGAAAGATCGGCTTGTTTGTTGAGAACATAGATGGCGGTTTCTTGTTGGGCAGCTTGTTTGGCCAAAGCCAAGGCAGCATCTTCAATACCCTTGTTTTCGGGACCCTTAATGAAAATAACACGAACACTCTTCTTCAAGTTATTGGCAGCTTGTTGGGCATCAACACCTTCGTTGAATTCATTGTCGTTGACGGTATAGGTGATGAATTCCTTTTCGATTTCGGGAGCAACAGCCGTGGGTACCTGAACTGATGGTGCAATCAAGCCACCACCACCACCACTAACACTAACCACAGTACCGGTACCCGAGGTAATTGTTGGTTGATAATTGTACTGGGCACATGCCACAGCTATCAAGGACAATACGATGAATGCACGCATTATTCCACCGTCGACTATTCGATTTGATTGAAGTGTAAAATGAGAATGATGCTCAAACATAATCGTCATTCGATTTTATAGCATCGAAAAATATTTGCTGATGGCGCCATGCACAACAATGGCCAATAACCATTTTCGGTGTTTCTTGTTGTCGTGGTTGTTGTTGGTTTTTTCTTCAGTTAATTTAAAGTGTAACATAGTTTACGATATTCGTTTTTTCATTTTGTTTTGTTTACGTTATTTGCTGAAATGTTTTTGTTGCTTTTTATTTCTTTCTACGGTGGATACAGGTATCGTAAAAATATGTAATCAATATTCAAAAATATTCAATGCTACCATCGTAAAAATTCCATCTGATCGTCATGATGATAGTTATGACGTGGGTTTCAATATTGAAGATAGCATTTTTGACAGATGTCAAAAAATAGATATTAAACAAATACAATGTATTTAATGCGTTTATTATTTTAATATTACAATGTGTTAAAAATAATACTTTTAATTTATGCAAAAAATGTTAGCGATTTGTTATTGTTTTGTCTGGAATGTTTTTTTATACCCTTCACCACACTATGGTACAGGGTATTATGTCTTTGGGCATATGTTTGTAATAGGCAAAGGAAACGAGATAGACACATGTTGCTGTTAAATTGTAAACAAAGTACAGGTAGCATTCATGATCCGAATAGGATGAAATTTGGCACATACTACTTTTAAGTATCGTGAAAATCGGTTCCGATTTAGATTTAGCTCCCATATGCATTTTCATCCGATTTTAAGTAAATGATGTACTAAAGTCTAAAGTCGATTTGCACGAAATTGCGCATAGCGTACTGAATAAGGCCTAGAATGTTGAACGTTAAGTTTAGTGAAAATCGGTTCCGATTTAGATATAGCTCCCATATGCATTTTCGTCCGATTTTAAGTAAATGATGTACTTTAGTCCCTATATATCTTTCGATTTGCACTAAATTTGGCATAGCGTACTGAATTAAGTCTAGAATGATGTTTGTTAAGTTCTGTGAAAATCGGTTCCGATTTCAATATAGCACCCATATATATATATATATATATATATATATATATTATATATTATATATATATATATTATATATATATTATATATATATATATATATTTATTGGTCCTATTTTATGTAAATGGTCCACCAAAGTCCCTATATATCCATCAATTCGCACGAAATTTGGTATAGCGTACTGAATTAAGTCTAGAATGATAAGTGGTAAGTTTCGTGAAAGTCGGTTCAGATTTAGATATAGCTCCCATATATATTGTGCACCAAGCTCCTAATGTTTGTCCGATTAACACGAAATTTTGCGCAACGTATCAATTTGAGACTTGAATGACGTTATTGGGTTTTGTTGAAATTGGTGCAGATCCAGCCAAAGATTCCCCATATAATTCGAACGGGGGTCTGATCGAGATTAAATTTTTAGCAGTGTGGCTTACTGAATAGCGCGTGTCAGTTTTGCTATAAATAGATGTCCATAAATTTGTCCCATAGTACGCAGACGACTCTTAATCTGCCTGAATAACATTAAATTTAGCATAGGTTGCCGAAAGACTTGAGTATGTTCCTTCGAGGGAACATTGACATGCAATTGTAAGGATACATATGTACAATATACACAAAGTGGTGAAGGGTGTCATATAGTCGGCTCAGTCCAGTATAAATTATAGACGAAACGCAATTTCCAATTACGGAACCCTATCAACACATGATATCAAGGTCATAAATATTTGTTTTTATCAAATAAATCCAAAAAAACCCTACAGTTTTTCATAATTAAGAATTTTTTGAAATAAATGACGGATATACTCCGTCATCTTCTCTCTGGAATTTTGAAAATTTTCACAAAAGTCTTGATCCATTTGACCCGGTAAATATTGAGCTTTCTTTATCAAGAGATACATGTTTATTCTTCGCCTTCCCCATGTAATATTTCGTGATGTTCGAGCCTTAATTGTATCATCTATAACGACCAGAGAAACAGCCTCATTTTACCCCCTAAGCATTAATCGATCAAGCACAATTGTTATCTTCTTTGGAACCGGACTGACACCCCAATTGGTCCATATTAGCATTCACCCAGGTCTATCAGTTAATCGTTATTTGACGATCGGTATAGGATAAAAATTTCTCGGCGTACAAACTGCTGGGCCACACAAACCGTGCAACATCGGGTAATCTGAAGAAATGATGTATGGATAATTTATCGAAATTTGCAACTATTTTCCTCAACTTCAATATGGTCCCGCGTTGGCCAAATTTAGGTTTTGTGCCTAATTCCATGGTATTCGCATAATACCAAAATACGTGGACATGGTCAGAAATCTACTCATAAAGTGATATTTTATTACCATCAAATCAGTTATGTTTATTCGTTGACCAAATAATCTTCCCTAATTAGAATTCAGTATAGTTCGGGTTATGTTTGTGCGACTTAATCCGCTATATGTGTAAGTACATATCATTTCGGCCTGAACCAAACCTACATTTCGCAATATTTTTCTGCCACAGTGACATCGATCGTTATATACTCGATATATCTATACTAATAAAAGAGTAAAGTGATTGACTGACTGACTGATTTAACGATTCATCAACGCCCAGACGAAACGGCTGAAGCTAGAATCTTGAAATTTTGGATGAGGGTCACTCTTGGTCCAAATGTGACAGATAAGGCTGGGTTTTTGGAAATCTATACTAATAAAAGAGTAAAGTGATTGACTGACTGACTGATTGACTGACTGATTTAACGATTCATCAACGCCCAGACGAAACGGCTGAAGCTAGAATCTTGAAATTTTGGATGAGGGTCACTCTTGGTCCAAATGTGACAGATAAGGCTGGGTTTTTGGAAATTCGTACTAAAACGGTACGAAAAGTACTAAAACGTACTAAATGTGATGCCATTTGTATTTGGCGAACCGGTGGAGCTAGAACTCTGACATTTGGTTTGGTGGTCGATGATGGAGTGTAGAATAGATGTACCAAAGGGTTTTTGGAAATTCGAACTATAACTATCCGAAAAGTACGTAAATGTACTAAATTTGGTACAATTCTGTAGCATGTGAACGGATAGAGGTAAAAACTTGGAATTTGAAATGCGAATTAAGGTTGGGAAGTAAGGTCGATATAAGGAGATGGTTTTGAAACCATGTACTCATGTGTACGAAAAGTACTATATGGTACTATATTTAGTACAAATTTAATTTAGAGGTACAAATCGAGCTGGGATCCTGAAAATTGATATTAACATTACCGTCGGAGTATAGGATTGGGATATGTACGTAGTTTTGGAACTTTGTCACTTATGTGTGCGAAAAGTACTAAATCGTTCTATAATTGGTACAATTTGGATTTGGGTGAACCGATAGAGCGGGAACAATAAAATTTGGAGTCAGGATCACTGTAGGGTGTAGGATTGGGGTCAGGACTCAGTTTAAGACATTATTACTTATGGGTACTAAATGGTACTAAATTTGGTACAATTTGAATTTTAGGTGAACAAATTGAGGTAGAGTCATGAAATTTGGAGACAGGATCATTGTTGAGGTGTAAGATTGATATATGTAGGGAGTTCTAAAAATTTGTACTAATGTGTACTAAATTTGGTACAATTTAATTTGTGGGTGAACCGATGGAATTGGAATCCTGAAACTTGGATTTAGGATCACTGTGGGGGTGTTGGTTTGAGTTAAGTAGGAAGTTTTGGAAATTCGTATCACTGTGTACTAAATTTGGTACAATTTGAATTGCGGGTGAACCGATAGAATCCTGAAATTTAGATTTTGGAGCACTGTGGGGGTGTTGGTTTGGGTTAAGTTGGAAGTTTTTGAAAGTTTTGGACATTCGTAATAATGTTTACTAAATGGTACCAAATGGTGTTAGGATCACTGTTGGGGGGTTCGAATGGGGTATGTAGGAAGTTTTGGAAATGTCTACTAATGTGTACTAAATGGCACTAGATTTGGCACAGTTTGGATTAAAAGTTAACCGATAGAGCTGAAATCTTGAAATTGAGTAATAAGATTTGCATTGGATTGTAGTAATGCAAATTTGTACCTATGTGTAATAAATGGCACTAAATTTGAAACAAATTGGATTTAGGTGAACCGATAGAATCCTGAAATTTGAAATTAAGATTGGGGTATGTGGGAAGTGTTGGAAATTCGTATGTTAATGTAGGAAGTTATGACAATTTATAAATTTATGTTTACTAACTGGTATTTAATTTGGATTTGGGTGAAGCTATATTTGAAATTTGGAAATTTAACTAAATGACACCAAATTTTGTATAGTGCTTGATTTATTTTGCGGTCTGAATTTGTGTGTAGGGTTGAGTACTATAAGAGAACATTGGTACTAAACGGGTTTAAAAGTGGTAATATTGGTTGGTATTGGGTTTTAAATACTTCCCACATTCGCTGACGAAGTAGCGGGTATATGCTAGTAAACTAATATTGCTATGTATGTCAGTCCGCTTTTCCATAATAACTTGTAATCAAGGTACCGAAAGTAGTAACGGAAAGCAGAATTCCTTATGGGTCCATTACTACCTTCGGTACTTTGATTACAAGTTATTATTAAAAAGTTAAGGGATAGACATAGCAATATATATTTAGTTAGTCCAGATATAAAGATCGATATCATAGTGGCGATATCTTTGTGCCTTATAGGGATAGGGAAAGACCTTGGTGAGTATATGACGAACTTAGAAGGACAAATTCGCCATAGGTAAAGTTTTTAATGATGCCTTTTTTGCTGGTAACTCTAAATTTCACGAAGAAAAATCTTCATATTTTGTTTGCGGCTATTACAGGATATTAATATGTCATTCCGTTGATAAATACCACATAAAGTATATATATATTTATTATCAGAATCAAATTATATTTATAATGCTATGTATGTAAATCTATGTCTGTCTGTTGAAATCACAATAGAGATCTCAATATTTGAGATAGAGCTATGA